GAACGATGAACAAGTGACAGAGGGGAAGGTTAAGTGTTGAAAGTCATTTTTGAAGTTGGAGGTGCGACCCTCCGGTCTTTCCCTTCGCAGTTTTTATTTGAAAACATACTGTGTGCAGAAACACCCACAATTCATTTGGCATCTACACTTGCTGTCCCCATTAAAATCACACACTCGTACACAAGGGTAATGAGTACCACCAATGGCTCTCCTGCCGGAGGAGACCGAGCATTCATTATCAGCGCCATGCACTTAGAAAAATGAAAGTCAATAAGACGCCGAGGACAAAAACAGTAACGACTGCCGTTCGCTGAGAGACGGACACACAGGTGAGGCGGCTGGAAACACTTAGGAGTAAATGAGCTGATTGGTTTAAGCCTTTATCAATATTCCGCTGTGCTATACTGAGTGCATCTTCACCTGTAGGAAAGGGGCTTTTCCTTTGCCTCCTATACAGTAAAAGCTGCAAGAAGCGACAAACAGGTCTTGGCTCCTTTGTGGAAGCTGAGGGTACTGATCCGGGGGGCCGGGGCACGGCCGAGAACGCACGCGACCATCGTACAACACGCCTGCAAGTGTTTGTATGTGCATTGAGGGTGAGACGCCGTAAAGGATGCTTTGCAAATATCCACTGTGTGGCGCTAGACAACATTACGTTGCTCCGGATCAGTGGGCGGTTCGGAGGACGCCCTTTTTGAGGGGTGAATTCATTTGGGACCTAAAATGAGGAAATTCCTTTCTCCTGTCATGATGATAATGGCACAGCGTGCCGAGTTTCCCTGCGACTGCACCGAACTCTGATGCTGAGGCAGAAGGGTATGCCTTCAAAACTCCAAGTTCACTCATCATCTTTATGGTCGGCCATTCAGAAGACAAAGATGACAGGTTCTCACTCACATTAACGAGCTGACAGCCAAGGAGAGGATTGGAGGAGGAATGGAGGGGGGTGAAGGAAAGAGAGAGGGCAATAAAACTGGGAAGGGGGGGGGGGGTGGGGGGCAAGGCTAACACATGTAGGCCCACTCAGACCCTCTCTGTTGATGGATGGGCCCCTTAGGGAGACACAAGGTAAATAGAGGCCTGCTGGCGTGTGGTATAGCATTCAATATGGAAAAGGTGTGACGCGCACTCCCTAAACAAGTCACTTTAATCATCACAAAGGAGAGCTGGTTTTCTGGCTGTGAAGCTACTGAAAAAATCAACATCCATCAGCGGGGCCTTATATTCCTTTCCTTCCGTCACCCTGGCAGGTGTAGCGGCCAATCCATCAACGCAGATCCTATTTGGATCTACCGGTTCTAATTTGGGAATTGCTTTTTTGGAAAATAATGTTATCTGTTGTCTAAATATGAGGAAAACCTTTCTCCCGCGGTGGCAGGTGACCTGAAATTGTCACCTGCCACAGCCAACATTTCCCCGGCAGGTGAGGGGGGGGCTATTTTTATCAGTTACCGTTTGAAGTTGTCAAATAGACAATTGGTAAACATCCAACAAAATATTTTACATTTAAATATATTTATATTCCCCAAATAATCATTTTGACCTCATGAAAAATGTTTTTGTACTAGATGATGAAGAGCTTTTATCACACTGTGATCTCTCCTCCCCCCATTTCTGTGTGGCTCAAATTACTAATTTGACAATCCATGATATGCAATAAGTAAACCTGGATATTGTAGGTAGATGTATTGCCAAACCCTTCACTTTTCCATACGACTGACCGTGATTGTGTTCACGTTATGCACGCTGCAGTACCAGCTGCTGCTCTACCACTCTAGATGAACTCTAATGAGGGGTTTCTTCAGCTTGTGAGGAGAAACAGTCTCACTTTCAGGTTTTCCGTATGTCCTTGTGAGAATACTGAATAAAGAGAGAGGGGAGAAGTGTGTGTGTGTGTGTGGTTTTTTATTTGTGTCCGTGTCAAATGTGCTACTGCGTCAACACCAAGGCAGGTGGAGACGGAGGGATTTCCGGAACCAAACATCCGAAGGCCCTCAGGAAGATTCATTCTTCTGCATTGCATCCCACCAGACCGCCGCTGAGGGCTTTTGTGTGTGTGTGTGTGTGTGTGTGTGTGTGTGTGTGTTTGTGTGTGGGAAATCTCCACCCCAAGATGTGGCTGTGAGAATGTGACAGATCGTAATGAGTATGTGCATGAGTATGATTCAAAAGGGAGTATCACAAATACTTATGTATGTACGTATTGTAACAGCATGTGTACAGTCACTAGTATACACAGTCATTTTCTCAATGTCTGACTTCACAAGCAAGATCACCACACACACGCGCGCGCGCGCACACACACACACACACACACACACACACACACACACACACGCGGACACACTCCTCACCTCTTCCTTTAGTTCCTATAGTTTGTCCCAACACGGTCTCATGAAGTGCACGGCACGTTTCTACGAGCTCCAACAATCCTATAAATGAGGCTGTGTAGCTTTAAAACAGACTCATTCTGCTGATGTATAGACAGGCACGCAGACACACACTCCCGTAGACACACACGAGCATTAAAGTGCTTCTCTGGGTGAGGAAAGCGGCTTTGGGGGGGTTTAAACAGCAGGAGGTGACCTGTCAGGGATTTCAAACCTTAGAAGTGTTGGAAGTGTGGAAGTAGCTAGCAGCCTACAGGTGATGAATATCTCTATGTGGCGTTTGCATCAAACAGAAGTAGTGGTAGTAGAGAAAAGCCTCCCACCTGAAATGACCATTCACTCACCGGGGGGGGGTTTGAAACACGACACAAATCCCGATGCCACGTGAAGGTGCATCCAGGGATTGATCGCTTCATTTCCAACAAAATAAGCAAATGAGCGGGCTTGTTTTTTCTGATGCTGACTTTCTCGATCGATACATGAAGACGGATTAGTTGTACTTCTTTTATTTCCGTAACAATTCAATGAGTCGGATGGAAAGGGGATAATGCACTCTAAATATGCAAATGTTTTCAGTACCAAAAAAGTGCTTAGCCGAAGTACATTGATTATTTGATGCATGTTGTGTTTAATTTCCAAATGCAACCACACGTTCCAATAGCCAGTCACACGCTGGCACGGTTTTATGGCCCTACAAATCACATCTGAAAGTGTTACTGACGGCATCAATAAGGAGGAGCAAGGTCTTCATGGCAGTTTCCTGCAAACCAAAGGGGAAGGATAACGGACCACTTGGTTTCGTTAGAGAGAACAAATGTGACACAAGGGAGGGCAGAGTCATTAAAGACAACCATGACGCAACACATTATGAAGGTCTGCTATTGCCTCTATTGTTTGACAGTTATGTGAGGAGCACTCAAGCAAGAATGGGAAAGTACTTTAATTGTGAACGTAAAGTGCCAGTCAAAGGTTTGGACACACTTTCTGATTGAATTGAATGAGAAAATGTGTCCAAAGCTTTGACTGGTACTTGTACGTGTAGTATGAGAAAGGGAAGGTTGGGTCATCATTGGGTTCCATGTGTGTCACCTCCTCTAATCAATATCATTGCACATAGTGCTAAAACCCCACCTCACTCAAACGGTGTGGGTACATTTCTGCTCCATATTTATGTCCTTTACTTTTAATGCAAATTCCTTAAAAGTGAATAACCTCATAGCAAAAGAAACCACTTTCAGATTTTTTTCTAAACCACTCTTTGCTAATGTACCAGTCACACAGTTGGACACGCTTCCTCATTGAATGAAAAATTAAGTGAAAACCTTTGACTGTCACTGTACCTTCCATGTGGCAAGTGTTCCCACAGTTACAAAGGCGCAGTTGATGTTTTGTGGATACGGACAGGACTCCATTGCAGAACAAGCACATTTTTCAATCTTTTTACAGTCAAGAATGAATGGACAAGCAAGAAATGCATGGTAAACTCACTATGACGCTTTCCCAAACTGCATGTCAAGTCCAGGCGTGTTGTGAGGGAGTAGATGACATGGCAGCATCGCTACTGAGAGGTTCCTCCTGCGACTAATGAAAGCCTAAAAATTCAAACCCTGAGGCGTTTTCAGAGGCTGCTGAACTTAATAACAATAAGCCAGCAAGTGACGGACACAAGCTCACAGCTGAATCCCCTTTAAATTTAACCTACCATGAACCACCACCAACCCTTTTTCTGTGCAACTCGCCTCACTTAGAGGCACCAAGCATCAGTCTGCAGTACACACAATCCTTCCCGTCAGCCGATGCTGGCTTTCATCAGACTGAGTCGTCCATAACGAAATTGTTCATTGTGTTGTAATCAGACAAGAATTTTGTCTTTTATGTTTTACACAGATGTTTGTTGTGGGCTCTATGCTGGATTGTGATTTGTTTTAACCAATGCTCTCTACCTTTTTCAGGCAAAACATTTTTGACTCGCTTTGTGAAATGAGGGCTTTCTCTGGTTTGTGATTACAGCTACTTTAGCCACAATAATGCCCCACGAATCTCTTCTCTCTTTGAGCAATTGAGTAGTAAATCAGTAAATATGTTGTTTTCCAGTATAAAGTTATATTTTCATAAAACTTTCATTTCAATTAATGAGTCCCAAAGTTTTTTATAGTTAAAACTTGCTGATCTGATAATGTAAAACTGAAAGTTCAAATCTTCAGTGGAATTCACTAAACCATCCAATGCAAAGCTATATTCAACTTTCGGGTATTTTGACATGCTGCTGATTTAAACATATTTTTATTATATACTTACAATTTTGTTTTCTATTCATTGAGCCCTGTAATAATACATCACGGCACATACGTTATATATCATCTGAGTGATATGTTCTGTAAAACACTGGCCCCTCAATAATCCAATGACAGCTTTGAAAAATGATTTAGTTGAGAAAACGGCCTCAGCGGTCAGCCTCACTGAGAAAAATACTGCATTTAGGAATGTAAGCAGAAACAAAGCAATTTAAGTGACTGTCCTGCAGAAGTTATGTGGTTTGGACGTTGCTTTTAAAGAAAAAGTTTTCTGCAAATGTCTATGTGTCTGTGTGTGTGTGTGTATCTGTCTTACCCACGGTTAGCTGACCGGTCAGTTGTCCCTGATCATTCCTGGCATTGACAGTCACATTTCTGTCTGACTGGAGGATCAGTGGACTGTCCTGAAGAGATAGAAAGAGGGACAAAGATGATTAAAACCACAGTGAGGAGGTACATTTCTTACACCCTCACAGAGAAATGATTCACTCACTGCTTCTACACCCACACGTTCTCTCTGCTTTCGTTATTTATCCCGCCTCACCAAAAGGGCATTGACCTGTACATCCAATGTGGCCCCAAATCCTCTCAGTTCACACTTGACTTACTCTCTTCTGTCGGTATGACATCCTCTGCATCCAATTTGAATAATCTATTTAACACAACATCCTGTCTGTGAGTGTGTTTTCATGTTTAAAGTTGCATGTGTGTGTGTGTGTGTGTGTGTGTGTGTGTGTGTGTGAGAGCACAAAGGACGATTATCATCAACATAAATGAGCCAAATACAACGGTGACCGTGTCCCTGGCCTGAGCCACGCGCTGCTCACACCGCTTTACGTTCAGTGGATGCGTGTTGCAATGAATGCTAAGCTCATGTCTGACACTTTATGTTTCACTGCATGTGTCTCTCTACCACCTTTCAACCGGTGAGAACAATTGTGGCACTTTCCTTTCTTCCTCCACTCGGTCTCTACACATCATTTTCTTTTTATTCTCTTTCCCTTTTGTCACTGTTGTAAATTGCTTATTTGTTTTTTTTTTGCGGCATGAAATGAATGGCTAACAGGCGATACAATTTCTCTGTTGATTTCCCAAAAATTAATATCTTGCTGCATTCTGGTCTGAATGAAAATTGGAAAGTCGTTGATCCGTTGAAATGAAAAAAGTGCTCTTCTTCCTTCCTCTTCCTCTTCTGTCCTTCTGGGGTTTGCTTATGCGGGTCGAGACCAGTTTTTTTTTTTTGCACGTCACACCTGTTGACTATTTCTGAGGGTCCACACAGAACTGACACACAGTCGATGACACCCATACCTTCACTACACACGTGAACACACACACACACACACACACACACAATCATGGTAAGGGGTGTGCACACTGCAGCGTGCTTGCCTTAAAAACAAATGTGCGCTCCAGTTTATTTGTGGTTTATTGTGCAGCGCCTCTTGGCTATCCGCTTGCCAGCACATGTATGCCGGATAAATCTTTGTCAACGGGGCGTATGATCGCTTTCACTGTGTTGTCTTTCCACCCTGTTAAAAGCGATGGGCGATTTGTAAAGCACAGCAGATGTAATGTGCTCACAATCATTCCGCCTCCATGGGCAGTGTGCGTGGACAGGCCTCATCCCAATCATTTAGAGCGGGACCATAGTTGGTAAATCTTATTTGATTAAGCACTCACATGCAAATATGTCCGAATAAAAGGTTGTAAATAATTACTGCATATTAAACAGCTGCTAATGTGTGTTGGGATGGACTGGTGGTGCTCTAGTGAAACGTAGGAGCATCTCAACGATAATGGCTTTTCTGTTCTGCCAGTAGACGACCAATAATGGTCACCATGGAAACCACCAAGTTCAAAGTGTCGACGTGGTCCACAGCGGACTGCGTGTCATCGCGCTAAGCAGCTGGAGGACGGACAGTGGAGCCGCGATGAGAGACAATCAGACATCGCTGTTGATAACTTGAGTCTGAACGCCGTCATTCACAAATGTGCTGTATTCACTGTGAAGTGACACTTAAATAAATCTGTGTGGGTGCTACGGTGTGGCACTAGTTTTTTTTACACAAATAAACGGGGCATAAAAATCCAAATCCATCTGTACATCGGCAATATAGAACTACACGTCTGCTAAAACTGACTTTAAGCTGCTGCATATGAATACCTATTCATCTAATTTTCAGTAACATTAAAAGGTTCATTTCATCACAGCTCTGAACTTTTGTACGGTACGGGTCTGGTTTGATGTGTTCTCATTCTATTAGTTTGAAGTTTATCCTTTTGGACCTATACTGAAGAAGTATTTTTTCCCTCGGGGGAGGATGGTACTTTAAATACTCATGTTTCCTGGGCGTGAATGCATTGGATGACGCATACTCTTAAACATCGCTTGAAGTCATAAATCCAATCTGTGATAATGCTCAAGTGTGTGTACGTGTGTGCGTGCGGGAAAGACTTGTGTCTCACTTCCTTGCTCTTTGCATTGAAATTGACCGATAGGACGGATAAATGCGGCGCTGCCACTTTGTGCTGCCGGTTGCACAGCATCGCTGCAGTCTGACACCTACACACACTCTTTTAATGACAGCGGACCAATCTCGCTGTGGACAATTGGTGGCAGGTTTACAATGATTTCAGATAAGTGCCCCTCAGATAAGCCTCCGCATCATACACCACGCTGTATGAAAGCACCCTGCAGCCTTTTCACACACAATTTATAAATAAATGCATTTCAGTAATATATTTCTAATTCAGTCTGCAGACAGAAATGTCCTCAGGCAGCCATGAGTCAATTAATGTAAACCCAATTAGACATTTAAAGGAAACTGAGTTTATTAATGGAATAATAAGCAAAAGAGATAATATATATTTGAAACGATTCTCAAATCACATTCCAAACAATTATTTTGTCAAGATAATTAATACGAATTGTTTACACTGTACTCGTAGACCATATTGTTTTTCTGCAGAAGTACTAGTGTGATTTAATGCAGGGGTCAATATGAACTATTCAACAACATGGGAGGACAACAGGTTTGGAAAAGCAGCGCCCGAGAGAAAGAGAGAGACACACACGTGTACAGCGTGGTGGGGCTGGATGGATAACTAGATACTATTTAACTAAATCACAACAAGGACGGGTGAGCGCATTACCTCACTTGTGCCATTCATCATTTGTGCTGTTTGCTTTGTGCTCCGTTCACTCCTCTGTTTATCTTACGTCTCACGCTCTCCGTCCCTGCAGCGATTTGTTTCCACAGTCTTGCTCATAAATCTCCTCTCATCGGGAAAAAAAGGCGCAGACAGGCGCAAAAAAGGCACTAAAAAGGCACAGGCGGGGCGCTCTGTCTCTCAGTGGGCCGACACAATACACACCACAGCGCCATTAATTCACTTAATAGTTTAATTCCACTTTGATTATGAATACAGGCAGAGGCCTGCCAGCCTGAGGTGGCCAGTGTAATTAGTCAGGTAATAATAAGCTGCGCACTGGTAACTCATCATCTCGGCCTCCAGCCACCAGTGCAGATGGGTCCTAATAACAGCTCTGGGCTCACCTGTCTCACCCCCCCGACTGCCTGTCTGGCAGCTCAGACGGGCCCGGAGTGAAGGTTCATAAGTGACGTGATTGGTTATTTGTGTTTTGTCATCACTCTAATAACAGCTTTCAGCTCTCTGTCTCATCGTCTCAAAAGCAATGCACTCAAGCCTCATACGAGATACATTCAGCTGATTCATCTTTGCCATCAGCCTAATAACTGCTTTCAGCTCTCATGATTGTATGTCCGTCATTTTCTGTCTCACAAGCGGTCTTGTCTCTCGGTCTAAAAGGCGCGGACGTGCTGGAGAAACTCTGGAGATCAATTCAACAGAAAGCTTTCAGCTTTCCATGGATGGTCTGGTTTATTCTCCTCCGAGCTCTCGGACTTTAAAAAAAAAGCAAACACCTCATCTACCGGTCTGCTAAGAAAGAAAGAACATCTTCATTTGTGAAGTCTTACACATTAAAACAGTTTTCTTGGCCACTTGGAGGCAATGTTTGACAAAACTCTGTTCGGTGTCATCCAATGTCATATTGTCAAATTTCTTTCCACATTGTAATGTGATGCATTAATGGTAATAATAATAACAATCTCAATAACTTGATTTCCATATGAGTATGAAGAGGGACCACTGAATGCCTAAGAAGAGGAAAATCTAGACTCTGCAGCCCTCACTTTTAAACAGGGATGTAAAGCTTTGAAAGAAAGGCCAATGTGACATTTAAACTGGAGGCTTTCTGAGAGAGGATTAAAGTAAGCCACAGCACTAAAGACATTTCTCTGGTACTGAGAAGGAGCACAACAATGACAAGACAGAGACGATTGAGTGATAGTAATAAGAAACGCACAGAGAACGCCGAATGAGTCAAACAGAGGGAGTGATAAAAGGAAAGCTGTTAGAATCAGTGAAGGCGAGGACACAGTTTAAGTTCCCACGGCGTCTCTGCATTCCTATTATGACTTTAATTCCCCTAATTAGCAAGGACTGTTGAATAAATGATATGTTTGTTGGTGCGATTTGCTAATTAGTTGTTTTCAGTCCCCACGGACACGTAACAAGAGAAGAAGAAGCAGGGTTTGACAATAACGTAGCTCTCCTAGTTCTTGGATTCAACATGTTAAAGGGACTGTGTGTGCTCTCAGGAGCCTTGTCATCTATTTGACATGTCATCGATGTCCTTTTCAAGCCCCGTGTCAACAGTTCTCAGATCGATTACATCCCTTTAAATCAGCAGGCACGAGCCGGAGCCGGTAAAGTCACGTCAGATTTGTGTGCGTGAGAATTTGCATGGTGTAAAACTTCTATGTCCATGCGTACTACTGAAGGCCAGGGCTTTGTCTATATTATGGCAATAGTTTTAGATCTTATGCCTGTAAAATCCAGTTGTGGTACGGTTTGATTGAATTGCTTAATATCAAGTATATTGGTTTCTTTACAAAATCGTTTAGAATGGAGTTACATGCAGCTGACAAATTCAACGATGCCACGTCTAATATTTAATATATTCAAAGTTGATTCAAATTGAAACTATGTATCTTTTTGAGCGACTACTTTTGCTTTCATAAGCTCACACAAAGACCTGACATGCAGATTGCTAACAAAAAAAGGAAAAGTTTGAGCTGATATTGTTACTGTAGACTATGTACGTCAGAGACTGCAGGGTTAGGGATTTCAGTTCATTGGGATGAATGACTGTACAAATAAACTGGAGAGTACGGCCCTGTGCCGAGGACGTGCCTATGCCAGGCAGACACACCGACGACCTCTCAGCTCAACGCTATTTTGCCTGTTTTCACGACATACTGCAGCAGACTGTAAATTACGGATTTAAACTGTTTGTCCATTAGCTTTTCATTGC